GTACAATGGAGATTTTAAAAACCTATTCTACAGGATTATATTGAGAATTAAAAATGTCAATGTTTGAAAAGTGCTTTCATAATGCCTATTCTGACATAGATCTCCAAAGTAAAACTGGACTTCCCTGTAAGGAAAACTTCCTGCTTCTCAAAGTATTCCATAAGTTATTTGGTCATGTAGGAGGGTGTATAAAATAATTCCAGCCTGTATCTGTATGGAGAGTGGCAGAGGGTGGTTACCGAACTCTGGTGAATGCATTCAAATGTAAAATTCTACTACATGTTAAGGTTTAAATTGTTTTACAAATATAAATCATAAATTAAAATGGCCCCCAAGTATATAAAACTAAAATGCTGGGGATATAGCTCAGTTGGTAGCACCACCAAAAAAACAAAAACAAAAACCAAAACAAAACAAAACAAAACAAAAACTAAAATGATAGAACAACAGGGAAAAATGGACAAATCTACCATTTTGATGGGAAATTGACATATCTATTTCATCCATTAGAATAACAGAGGCAAACTGACAGGTAAGTCTGAACATGACCATTAGCAAAGATGTAGAAAATAATGAACAACTGAGCTTGATTTATTTGATATATCTCATTGCACCTATCTATTGGGGAATACATATTCTTCTGTATTCTTCATTATTCTATCAAAATAATGCATTTCCAATCATAATTACATCAAGACTTTTTTTTTTTTTAAACTGACAAGTTGATTCTAAGATGTATACAGAAGAGCAGAGCTTTTGACACTTGTAGAAAGCTCAAGTCAGGGAACTTGCTCAACCAGATAGCAAAACCTGTAATAAAGCTATAATAATCAAGACAGGATGATATCAGCACAGGGATAGACAATTTGGAAGAGAACAGTGAGTCCAGACACAGACTTGTACATAGTGGAACCTTGATATGTGACCAGAGATGGCATTGAAGGTCACTTGTGAAAGGATCTGAGTCAATAGATAGTATTTGGACAACTGGCTGGCCATTTGGAAAACAAAAAAGTGCATTCTTATTTCATACACAATATAAACCAATTCCATATGGATTAATGATTTAAATGTTAAAGGTAAAACTTTTCCAAAAAATTCTAAGAAAATACCTTCTTGACTTAAGGGTAGGTAAGGATATTTTTGGACAGCAAAGTTATGAGCTATGAAAGAAAAAGATTGACAAGTGTAACCATATTAAATTTGGGATATTTATTTATCCAAAGACTACAAAGAAAAGTGGAAAATAGAGGCTAAGGTTGTGGATTAGTGGTAGAGCTCTTGCCTAATATATTTGGGGCACTGGGTTCAATCCTCAGAACACATACAAATAAATAAATAAATAAAGTTTAAAAAAAAAGAAAATAATTTGGACTTGATCCCTGATTGGGAGGAAATTGCTCTGAAGATCAACTGGCAAACTTCAGTGAAGACTATATTGATGTTAACCTATCTAAATTGAAGCATTGGTCTTTTTTATTTTATTTATGGTGCTGGGGATTGAACCCAGGACCTTGTGCATTCAAAGCAAGTACTCTATCAACTGAGCTATATCCCCAACTCCTTGGGCATGGTTCTTTGTGTACATGAGAGAAAAATTTTGTCTTCAGAGGTTCATGCTATAATTTATTCTTAAATGATTCAAAGGCAACAACAACAAATAAATCTTTTTCACACACGAGTAATCTCTAAATCTATGTGAAGAACATATGGGGTATATGTGGACATTCTATTAGCCATAAAACTTTCTTAGATCTTTTTCAAAGAAAGTTTAAAGTGTTTTAAAAATTAAAAGCATAGTACCCTGTAAATATATACATTTCTGGGCTTGTATGTGTCAGTTAAAAATAAATTTAATTTTTAAAAAATTCTAAGTCATTATGGTCTTTCACGGTGCATATGCCAAAATGCATGAGGAAACTTAGAAATTCTCAAATGAAAAAAAATCACCTATTGGGGGCTGGGGTTGTGGCTCAGTGGCAGAGTGCTTGCCTTGAATACGTGAGGCACTGTGTTCGCTCCTCGGCACCACATAAAAATGAATAAACAAAATAAAGATATTGAATCCGTTTATTAAAAAAAAATCACCTGTTATCAAAGTCAGTTTTTTGTTTGTTTGTTTGTTTTGTACTGCAGATTAAACCCAGGGCTACATTCCCTTCCCTTTAAAAAAATTTTTTTTGAGACAGGGTCTCACTAAGTTTTCCAGAATAGCCTCAAACTTGGGATCCTTCTGCCTCAGTCTCTCAGATCACTGTGATTATAGGTGTATGCCACCATACCCAGCATCAGTTACTTTTTAAATACGTCACTTAATAGATATCATATATCTATCCATCTACATGTGTAAATATGTATTTTATATATTTAAGCATTCATACAAGCCAATCTTAAAATCAGATCATGCATTGTCAAAAGTGGAAAAACACATGCTATAAACTAGGAGAAGATATTTGCAACAACTACAATTGACAAAAGATTGGTATAAATAATACATATATTTATACACATTTTTTCCAACACTTAAACGAGGAGGAAGAAACATCAATGAAGCACTACGTTAAAAAATGCTCAAGGCTTACCTTCATCAGTAATTAAAGAATGCAAATTAAAATCATAATGTGGCACCTACTTATTCTTTTTTTAAAATGTTTTTATTGGGACAGGCGTCATGTCGCACACCTGTAATCTCAGCAGACTGAGGCAGAAGGATCCCGAATTCAAAGCCAACCTCACAAAAGCGAGGTGCTAAGCAACTCAGTGAGACCCTGTCTCTAAATAAAATATAAGATAGAGCTGGGGATGTGGCTCAGTGGTTGAGTGCCCCGAGTTCAATCCCTAATACCAAAAAAAAAAAAAAATTTTTTTTGTTTATACATTCTAGTTATACACACTAGTGAGGTTCATTTTGACATAAGGTACCTATTTATTCTTTGTAAACTAGCAAAAAAGTAAGAAGTCTGACAATAAGGAGGATTGGAGAGAATGTGGGAGGCTAGAGCTTATCAGTACTGAAGGCAAAAGAGATTGGTACAACCACTCTGACAGTATCTCAGAGTTATCTTTGAAAGTTGGACATCTCCCTCCCCTCTGTTCTAACAGTGCTGCTCACAGATTCAAATGATTCTCAGATACACTTGCTGAAGGTGATCAAAAATGTCCTGCTAGCCTTGTTATTACCAGGAACAAAGCCAGGTTTTGTGGGGGCATGAGTTTACATGATCAGAGAAGAGTAAAGTTTTTAAAGAAAACATACAGAATTTTGAATAATTATTATGCTCAAAAGTGAACAGTTAGCTGCGCGCAGTGGCACACACCTGTAATCCCAGCCACTCAGGAGGCTAGGACAAGAGGATTGCAAGTTGGAGGCCAGCCTTGGCAATCTAGTAAGGCCCTCAGCAATGTAATGAGGAACTCAGGGAAGCAGACACATTTAGTGTGATTGCTATCAACACAGAAATAATAATGTAGCTAGATGCAAGTTTAAGGGCCTCAGCAATTTATCACGACCCAGCCTCAAAATAAAAAAAATAAAAGGGTTAGGAATGCCTTCGGTTCAATTCCCAGTGCCAGAGCAGGGAAACTTTTAAAGAGTGCATTTTTAAATAATCATGTCTGAATACATTTCTGACAGGAAAGACCTCCCATTTAACTAGGCAGTGAAAATTAAATTTCTACTATTACCCTTAACTACTTTGAGGAGTCAAAGGAACAAATGTTGAATAATAAAAGCAAACCTGGGAAGGCTATCTATATATTAACTAAATTTTTTTACAAAAAGAAAATGAAACAATAGTTTAGAGATGCATCCAAAATGCATCCACTAAAAATGGAAAACAGAACCTACAAATAAAACTTGATAATGGGGGTGGAAGAAGAGGCAAGGAGTAGAATCCTGGAGATACAGAAATAAGCGCTAAATATTGATATTGTGGTTGGGTCAGATTTTCTTTTTATTAGTATGTTTTAAATTTCACGTGTTCGTTAAATATATTATTTTGTATGCATCAAACATTAGATGGGAAAATATTTAAGAATACACCCCAAGTTATTAACCTTTACTTTCCTCCTTTCCCACTTTCCCCTTCTCAACCACTAGCTTCCTGGGAGAGAGCTCCAGAGGCTGGGAAGGCAGAGAAAGGCAACCCACAGAGACCAAGAACCCTGATGTGTGTGTAGCCTGTGCCTTTTTGTCTCATTTTGGGCTCTTTCTTGGTGCTAACGTGGAGTATGGTGGTGGTTGAAACAGTACTCTGTATATTAAATGCTACCCATTAAGTGCACTGTTTACTTTTTCAACTCATTCGTGCCAGCTGAAGGAGGAACGGCGCTTTCCGGCCGAACGGGGCCTCTGCCCCTCCCTGTCACGCTCAAACTTCCCACTTTCCAAGTATGCCAGGCCCCAGCGCCACCCTCTTGCGTCTTTCCGCGCGGGTCTGACTTTTTCGCCAGTCCCGGCCTACTCGATTACGTAAATTCTCCCCAAAGGATTCCCAAACTGGGCACTCCATACAGAACCTGCTCAGCTCCAGCTCGGCTCAGAGATTGACAGTCCGCGGGAGCCGGGGAGGGGCGTAGAAAGAGCGCGGAGCTTCCCGGCCCCTTCCCTCCTCGCCAAGCCCCGCCCCTTCCCTCCGCCGTGCAGGAGCCCGGCCCCTTCCAAAACCCGGAGAGGTGGATCGTGCGGGCCGCATTTCGGCCTTGTCCGTAGCCGGCCCGGCCCAGCGCCTGAAAGGGTGAGCCGGCCCGGAGAGGAAGCAGATGCGGCATCCGGTCCGCGCGGGTGAGGAACCGGGGCAAGAGGCCGCCGCAGCAGAGTGGGCCCCCCAAATCAGTTTCCCTTTCCACCCTTGCAGAGCGGAGTCCGGGCCTCCGTCCGGAACCCGACGCCCCACCCGTCGCGTTTCCTAGCAGCGCCGTGACGTACGCGCGCCTCCGGGTGCGCGGCCGCCGGGTGTAGGTGGGAGGCGACGCCTGTGGGGAGGGTCTGGGAACGCGCCAGGGTGCGGGGGGCGTTGGCGAGAACTGGAGGCCTCGAGGCTGCCCGCCCTTCCCGAGCCGGTTCGATTTCGTCATTTGAAGACTTCGTATTCTGAGCTATTCCTTGTTCGCTTAGAGCTGTCCCCACCCACCCCTTTACTCCAGAGAGTTAGGATGTTCATTCTGGACCCTCATTGCGTTTTATTCTCCCCCTACCCCGGCCCGGAAAATGGAATCTGGCAATTTATGCCAATAATTTTTTTTTAGAAAAATATTAGTATGTTTGATAGTCCTTAAATTAATTAAAAGTGATCTTTCCCAATTACTGTAATTTTACAAACATAATTTGTAAGCTCTTTTTGTAAAAAATAGCTTGTGTTCTGGAGCCAGAATGCTGGGCCTCAGGCATTTTACGTGTGATAAACTTCATCTCTAGGTGGCTGAGTTTATGTGTAAAATGTGTTTATATATATGAATATTTATATGCACGTTGATATATTTTATTATACTATATCGTGTTATGTAATTTTTGCAATATGGTATATAAAATATAATATATATAATATGTACACTAACCTACTTTACGCACTAACCTACTTTACACACTAACCTACTTTACATGATTGTGAAGATTAGGTGAGGCACTAAACACTGGTACAAAATAAGCAGTGCATAAATGTTACTTAAAAATAACAACATTTTTCTCTATGGTTTGTGGTTTTGATTTTAAAGATTCTAATTGTGAAGTATCCCTTCAGTTTTCTTTGTGAAAATATTGAAGAAGTATTTACTTTAGAATTTCTATAATATCTGAATCAAAATGCAAGTAATCAATGAATAGAAGTAAACTCGGCACACCAGGGCTAGGTTGAGCAATGTGTGCAGTATTTCTACTGCTCATGTGTGTAAAGAAAAGACTGTTTTTTGTTTTTGTTTTTAACCAGAAGAAACTGATAAATGGAAGAAAAGCTAGGTGTGAAGTAATGCCATGTCATCTTCACTATTCCCTTGAGGTAAAACCTTGGGACACATAATCATGTGGTACTTTATACGTAAACTGAATTGAGGGTAAAATATTTCTTACCCTTTTCTCAACAGAATATTGAAGGATGTTTGTTCCAAGATCTCTCAAAATCAAGAGGAATGCTAATGATGACATCAAAAGTTGTGTTGCTAAGAAAATTAAGCCAGAAGCCGAAGACCTTCATTTGGACAAAGGCAGAGATGTTGATGCTTTAGTTTCAAAAGAAACCACTGCACCAGACAGGCCCAGAAGCGAATCAGGCTCCTTTCCCAGTCCTGCTGGCCAGTTGGCTGAGGCAGGCTTGGTAGGACCTGAACAGGGTGCTGAAGAGCCTGTGAAGTCATTTTCTAAAACACAGCGCTGGGCAGAACCTGGGGAGCCTGTCTGTGTTGTCTGTGGCCGTTATGGAGAGTATATCTGTGATAAGACAGATGAAGATGTGTGTAGCTTAGAGTGTAAAGCGAAACATCTTCTCCAGGTTAAGGAAAAGGATGAGAAATTAAAACTGAGTAGTCGGCAGAAAGCTGGTTCTGAGCCAGAGCCTTCTCCACTTGATGATGTTTATGTCTACAAAGAACACCCCTTTATTTTGAACCTTCAGGAGGACCAGATTGAAAATCTTAAACAGCAGCTAGGAATTTTAGTTCAAGGGCAAGAAGTCACAAGGCCCATTATTGACTTTGAACATTGTGGTTTCCCTGAGGCCTTAAATAACAACTTGAAGAAATCGGGCTATGAAGTGCCAACCCCCATCCAAATGCAGATGATTCCAGTGGGTCTTCTGGGGAGAGACATTCTGGCCAGTGCAGATACTGGCTCAGGAAAAACAGCTGCTTTTCTTCTTCCTGTTATCATCCGAGCTTTATTTGAGGTATTTATAGAGTTTGCATGTATTATTATTAAAAATAATGACATATTTGCCGTTTCATCCTTTTTAATTTTTTTTTTATGTTTCATTCTTAACCATTTTAAAAATGCAAGTTGAAACTAGGTATTTATAATTTTAGCCACTGGAGCGCCTCCTGATTTTGCTTCTTATAGTTCATATGCAAAACATAATTTTAGAGAATTTTTCCATTTTAAATTGAATCAAAGATCTCTGTATTGAAGGTCTAAAAAATTATTTACAAAACCTATATTTTCAGCAGATTATCTCTTAATAGAATAAGCTTTTGATCTCGTGGAAAAAATTCTGCTGATTACATGAGCTGCAGTTTATGTGTCACTTAAGCCTCCTTGGATTTTGTATTTTTTTTTTTTTTAAAGAGAGAGGAGAGGGAGGGGGAGAGAGAGAGAATTTTTTAGTTTTCGGCAGACACAACATCTTTGTTTGTATGTGGTGCTGAGGATCGAACCCGGGCCGCACGCATGCCAGGCAAGCACGCTACCGCTTGAGCCACATCCCCAGCCCTGGATTTTGTATTTTGAAGGAACTGCTGTCTATCAAAGTTGCAACCCTGTTGTATAATACGAGTTTCAAAATATACCCTTAAATATGATCCATGGTCCATCCTGAAATAGTACCACCTTATCTTGCTTGTTAGCTTACAGTGTATAAAGAACTTTCACAGATAATTTACTTGACAAACATTTTGAGTAATGATTCCAAATACAGTGAATATCCTTTATCTGAAATGCTAGGGACCAGAAGTGATTAAAAGTTTTGCTGATTTTGAAACATTTTCATAGATATTACAGGTTGACCATCCCTAATTAAAAAATCCAAAATACAAAATGCTCCAAAATCTGAAACTTTTGAACATCATGTTGGTGCTTAAAATGTTTTGGATTTCAGGTTTTCAGATTGGGGATGCTTGACCTATACTGATGAGCTTGTGAGCTCTGACGTATGGCAGGGAAGGAAAAGAGTGAAAAATATGGGCCAAAGAAAGGAAAAGGAGAAATATTTGGAAATCTAAAGAGTGGTAGGGAACAATAGGAGAAAATATAGGTCAAAATACTAGAGGACCAAAATAGAACTAGAAGGCAGAAAATAAGATGTGGATATACACATATATAAAAAATAAAAGTTTTTTTTTTTTTTTTTTTTTTTTGCACAATGGAAGAATCTACAAGAGAGCTGAGAGGGAAAGATAATAGGTAGAATGCCAAATTTCAACAGTATCTTCCTGGTGACTATTGGGTTTTCTCTATAGAGAAGGCTGGCTAAAGATTGCAGGATCCAGTTAACAAGGAACAATCCCTCAGTTTTCCCACTTTGGTGACAATGAACACCTCTCCCTTCCCCCAGTTTTGATCTTTAATTGTGTATCTGTATTATATAAGAAATGGATTCAATTTATGATGGTCATTGGAGGCAAAACCTGCATGCAATGATCAGAAGGCAGGAGAGCTTGTATCTCTTGGGCTGATGGAAACAGAAGGGAAATGTTCCTGAAATCACTGTGGTGATTTTTTTCCATATCAGCAGGAATTAATTGCTAGTGTTTCTGACTTGCCTTTCTTGTCTTTGCAGAGAAAAACTCCATCTGCACTTGTTCTTACACCAACGAGAGAGTTAGCCATTCAGATAGAGAGACAAGCTAAAGAACTGATGAGTGGTCTGCCACGAATGAAGACTGTGCTTCTTGTAGGGGGCTTGCCTTTACCTCCACAACTTTATCGCTTGCGACAACATGTGAAGGTAAGCATCCATTTGATATAATGTCTTTGAAAAAGTTTTATAAGAGATATAGGAGCTAATAGTTGGGGTTTTTTCCCCCTTGAGGAGTAAGTGTGGTTTTATGTAGCTTTAAAATTCTTGTTTAAGACTAAATATTTTTTTAAAGTTCATTTTATATAGGAGAGAAGCACAGTTTATTGAGTGCCTGTTGTATGCCAAATGCTGCTGGATATTTTCACATAGGTTATTCCATTTAACCATCACATTTGCTCTGGATATAGGTTGGTATATCCCATCTTTTATGGTTGAGAAGGTGAAAGATCCATAGTCAATAAATTATAGTCGCTAGAATTGAAGGCTTAATTTATCTGACTCTATTCCTTCCTTAGTTATGCTATTATGTTATAATCTATATATTCTGAGATACAAAAGTATGTAAAAGCAGTGTGGTCTAGTTATAGCTTTGGAAATTAGGTAGTAATATGGCTGTAGATAAATTACTTAACTTCCCCAAGCCTCACTTTTCTTGAGTTTGAATAGAGGTGAAGATACCTGCCTTTAAAGTAAAAATTTTAATGAAAGGATTGGCACATATGCTGACCACAGTGGACGGTAGCCTTAGTGCAGGGACTGGGTCCTGGAGGCTCCCTGCTCTTCTGAGCATCAATTGTTCAATTTTGAAGGTAATTATAGAGCTCCTCGAATCCCAGGGGAGGAACTGAGATACCGGGGAGACAGTGGGAGCACTGTTAGAGGAAGCATCAACAGTTACTTATCCACTGGCATGAAGCTCTGCAGTATTCAGGGACTTCTATAGCCTTTCTTATATGAATGTTGTGAAGATAAAATGAAGTGTATTTGATAGATTTAAAACATGTGCCAGGCGTGGTGGCACACACCTGTAATCCCAGTGGCTCGGGAGGCTGAGATGGATTGTGGGTTCAAAGCCAGCCTCAGCAAAGAGCAAGGCGCTAAGCAACTCAGTGAGCCCCTGATTAAATAAAATACAAAATAGGGCTGGGAATGTGGTTCAGTGGTCGAGTGCCCCTGTGTTCAATCCCTGGTACCAAAAAAAAAAAAATGTAAAATATAATTGTAAGACATTACAGATTAATAATGGGACATTGGATCAATGATTTTTTAGCATGGACCTTCAATATATAAAACAGATAAATATTTTTTTATTAATATAAAATTATAAGTTTAACAATGTATTTTATAAAGTAAACATTAAAAATATTTTGATTGGGGCTGGGTTTGTGGCTCAGTGGTAGAGTGCTGGCCTTGCAATGCATGAGGCACTGGGTTCGATCCTCAGCACCACATAAATGTAAAATAAATACATTGTGTTCACCTAAAACTAAAAAATAAATTATTTAAAAAATATTTTGATGGACATAAATTTGAAATTGGGTTATTATAATTCACATCAGCCTCTGAATTAAATTTATTTTTGTTGCATAGAATATAATAGGTATGTAGGTGCAAATTCTAAACAGCTTTTAAGTAACTAATCTTGCGTTCTCATTCTTAAAATAAATAATTTAATGCATTGGTAGTAATCTCCAGCTTGCAGCATGTAGTAGCTCATTTGGTTGGGTACAGTGTTTTCACTGTATTTCACTTATTTTTAAGTCTCAAACTTAAAAAAAGGTGGCCAGTACACTATACAAACCTCGGTTCCCCCAAGCTTCTTGGAAGTACATTGTTAATTTGATGCCCCATGTATCTTACAGTATCATTCCTACAAAGACATTATCCTGTATAACCACAATGCAATTATAGAATCAGGAAATTAACATTGATATTAGAATACATCAGGAATTGGCATTGATAATCATCTATACCTTAGACTCTTATTTTTATAATTGTCCCATTTTTTAATAGCACAAAAATCCCATTCAAAATCAAATTGCATTTAGTTGTCATGTCTCTGTCATCTCCTTCAGTTTAGAACAGTTCCTCAGTCTTTTTGGTTTTGACATGATCTTACCATTTCTAAGATTTACAGTCTGCTTACTTTAAAGAATATCCCTTAATTGATTAGATTCAGCATACCTTTGATAGAAATTTTACAGAAGAGATGCTTTGATTTTTTTTAATTGCATCCATTTAGGTGGCAGATTTCAGTCTGTCTTTTCTGGGTGATAGTATCTGTTAAGTAAATGTAAGGGCTGGGATTGCACTCGTCTACACGTAGGAGGCCCTGGGTTCCATCCTCAGCACCACATAAAAATAAATAAATAAAATAAAGATTAAAAAAAAGCAACTTAAAGTTTCCCTTTTTTTCTTTGTTATTAGTAAATATTTTGGGAGGAGTACTTAGATATATGTAAATTTGTTTCACCAAACTTTTATTTTATTCATTTATTTTATTTATACCAGTATGGACTCATCATTTCCTATTTTATTCAGAAGTTTATAATCTATTATGGTCATTATTTGTTTGTTATTCCACTTGTCGCTGATTTGACCAGTAGAAGTACCTTCAAGTTGTTTTCTGTGCCCTTTAATGATATCCCCATGATTCTGTGCTTGCCTTATTCTTCCCTCACACAGCATGGCATGTCTTTCCAAAGACCCTGGCTCCTTTGGTGGAGAATTGTATTTAGAAATCAAGATTGAGTTCTCCCCATGCTCATTGTGTTTGGGCTATTACTGCTTTTAGGACCTTGTAGTAAATAGATCTGGGGGATAAATATAAGTGTGTGTTTTTCTGTGTGTAGTTATTGGAGACTATGAGATAATGAGTTCATGTTAATAGTTACAGTTCTAATTCAACACAACAGGAATTCATTTAAGTTTCTTTTTTTTGTTTGTTTCCATATTTGTAATTCTTACAGGGGAAACCAGCCACTCACTTTTTTTGTTTTTTAATTTTTTAGTTGTAGATGAACACATGGTATAGTTATTTATTTTTATGTGATACTGAAGATAGAACCCAGTGCCTCATGCATGCGAGGCAAGTGCTTTACCACTGAGCTACAGCCCCAGCCCACTTTTCTTTATTTAGTTATTGATTTGACCTGTCCTACCACACACACTGTCCCCTCCCACACGGTGATGCTTCCTCACTAGGTTCCACTCCACTTCCACCCCTCAGGCTCTAGCCCTCTTCTGCTCCTGCTGCCACTCCTACCTCTCCCACCAGCCTGTGTGCATTCCCCAGTGCTCTCTGAGAAAAAAACACTGAAACATTTTTCAAGACCTAGGGCAAAATAAAGACCCTTTTAGATAAACAAAACTGCAAGAGTTATTACCATCTGAAGGAGCTTTCAAACTGAGATATTCTACAGATAAATAATTCTAGAAAGAAAGGTGTGGCATAGGTAAATACTGGCCAAAATTGGATGGTGTTAAAGCATTTATCCTTGACTATTCAGGAAAATAATATAAAAGTTTTAATTATCTTAATATTTTATTAAATTATATATTTGTTAAAATGCAAGGGAAGACACTGCAAAAATGAAAAAAGAATTTATAACCTCAAACCAGCAGATAGGAAGAAGAGAATAGAAGAAGTAAACTCAACTCGAAATAACTAAAATTGATTTGAATATTTGTGATGTTTCTGAGGTACCTAAGCAGAACTTTATAGTTCTAGGACACAGATCCTTAAAACCCTGAAATTTTATCATCCTCAGTGCTTTTTACCATTCTGTTGTTATATATTTGAAAAGTGGAATACAATTAAATTTATTAGATCATGTGTAATTCTACTTTTGTACCAGGCACTCTCATTTAATTGTCACAATAATTATTATCATTTTCATTTTCTGGGTGAGAGAACAGATACACCATTATTAAATACTAAAGAGTAGGGTTGTTGCTGAAGTTTTACTAAAGAGCCCCTACTTTTAGCTACTACTTTAAGTAATATATTATAAAACTCTTAAGAGCCTTGAATAAACATAGAAATCATTGTACCCAGCATTTTAACTATAAAAGAAATAATGGTGGCACACCTCTGTAATCCCAGCAGCTCAGAAGACTGAGGCAGGAGGGTTGAAAGTTCAAGCCAGCCTCAGCAACTGAGCAAAGCCCTAGGTAATTTAGCAAGACCCTGTCTCAAAACAAAAAATGAAAAGGGCTGGTGATGTGGTTCAGTAGTTAAGTTCAATCCCTGGTACCCAGAAAAAAAGGAGGAAAAAAAAAAAGAGGAAAGAAATAATAGGCCCAAAGAGGTTAAGGAATTTGCATTTATTCAGAGGTTAAGGAATTTGCATTTATTCACAGAGCCAACTAGCTGTCAGCCAGCCTACAAGCCCCTTTCTTGTCCTTACCAATCCTCAAGCCTCACTTTCCATTACACACCTCCCTTACCAGCTGTAGGCCTCAGTGGTCTCCCAGTCTCAGAAATTGTATAGATGCTTTCTTTCTGCCTGGACCACTCACCTTGCAGACTACCACTGATTCTGTAGTTTGAGCTCAAGTTTAAGGTAGGACTGACAACAGATACCTCCATTTATTGTATACCTTACAAAAAAAACAATCAAGGCTTGCTGTGGGAGAAAATGCCTGTTTTTTGAGGAACAGCTCTGCATATTTATAGATCCGGGGGTGGTTTGACAGTTGGCATGGGGTGCTTTTTGATTGGTGGGTAAGGATCAGGTGAGCCAGCAGGGCTAGTCTGATTGGTGGGTAAGGATCAGGTGAGCCAGCAGGGCTCACCATTGGACGGCAGGATCATGTGAGCCAGCTCAGCCATTGGACGGCAGGATCATGTGAGCCAGCAGGGCTCACTGTTGGACAGCTCTTCTTGGGGGATGGGGAAGTTAGTCTTTGGAGCCAGGGCAACTCCCAACACCATACTTATCTCATTAGCATTTTTTGTTTCTTCGTTTATATTCCATGTTTTCTGAGAATAGAAACTATGTCTGACTTCTCTACCAATGAATTCTGAGTACTTAGCAAGTGTCTGGCACATATTAGTCACTCAATAAAAATAGAATAAATGAGTAAATGTTGTCTAATTCTTAAATTTGTTTTTTCTCTTTTATTCAGGTTATCATAGCAACCCCTGGGCGACTTCTGGATATAATAAAACAGAACTCTGTAGCACTTGGTGGAATAAAAATTGTAGTAGTAGATGAGGTAAGTAGTGGTGTTTAAAAATATTAGTCACATAATTTTGTATAACTCATAAATTATGTTATAAATTAATAAAGTATGTTATAGTTATAAAATTCCATTGTATATGTAGGGCATTTTCTCCACAGAGAAAAAAATTCCATGACTTTTAAAAAATTACAGTAGTGGTACTTAAGCTATTTCCTATGTAGAGCTATCGCTAAAATTAAACCAGAACTGTCTTTTCCTAATTGACAGGAAACATAAGTTCAACTGGTACTATCTTCTTAGTGATAAATTTTTTAAACATTTGATGCTTCATATCATTTGTCTGCAAAAGTAGGGGAATCAGTGACATATAATTATTACCAGGAATTGTGGAGGAGGTAGCTAAATAATTCTTAGTTGGGTGACCTTTTTTCTTTCTTTTTTTCTGTGTGGTCATAGGCACTCGTGGTTATGATTTTCATTGTTAGTATACCATTATAGGCATTTTATATTTTGGGCTTCTATAAGAAGGTAAAGTAAGTGCATTATTATTATAAATATTATGTCATATTTCATCATACACACAAGCATGAGAATACAGAACCATGTACCAGCCCACACTGGGTATATTCCATTCCTGCTTGCAGGGCATGTGTAACTTCACACAGGTCCCACCAGAAGTGATAGAGTAGAGTTTTGATGTTACCCAGGAATGATAGAAATGTGGAATGCCAGATGTTGATCAGTGATAGCATCCTGGTATGCCTTCTAAATCCAAGTAAGTAACAGTGGGGTACTGGAGGATGTGGAAAGAAATGTAGCAAAGACTCTGAAGACCAAGGTTTAGACATTTGCACCACATCCTATGAAACTTTGTAAGTTACTTAATCTTCTAGAGCAGTGGCCAGAATGAAGAATGGTTGCAGAGATGTCTCATAGTGCCGCAGTCTGGCTGGGCACAAAATCACGAGCCACCACACACCTTGTAGATTCAAACAGCAACTCTTTATTCTTGAACTATCACTGGCACTTTACACACACATTCTGGGGAAATTCACGTTCTGGGCCAAATCCACGTTCTGGGCAAAATCCCAAATACTCTCTGAATCCCGTGAGAACTCAACGGGAACTCAAGGAGCGGGTGCGCCTGAAGCAGCAGGATACTCCCTAATCCCAGCAGGATACACCCTAAACCTGGATCCGCCCTGGTCCTTGAGCAAGGTCACCTTACATGCAATGTCACTGCAAATGACCTGGGTCAATATGGAGAGTCCTTCCTCTAAGCAACATTGGGTAGGCTGACAAATTGCCATGTGTCATTCCTACTTGGCAATGGCTCTCAGCATCATAGACTAAAAAGTCCTAAAGAATGTAAGATTATATTATTCAATAGTTTAAAATATCTGCTAAGTCAGCATTTTCCTGCTATTGTCTGTTTGTGGAACTCATTTATTGCATGTGATCATCAGATTTAAACTGCCCATAAGACTACATTTCCATTTGTTGTTAAACTCATGTTCCAAAGTTCTCCATATCATTGGAGCCTGAGAAAAGATTCTTTTTTTTTTTTTTTTTTGGTACTAAGGGTTGAACTCAGGGGCACTCAACCAGTGAGCCACATCCCCACCCTATTTTATATTTTATTTAGAGACAGTGTCTCATTGAGTTGCTTAGTGCCTCACTTTTGCTGAGGCTGGCTTTGAACTTGCAATCCTGCTGCCTCAGCCCCCTGAGTTGCTGGGATTACAAGCGTGCGCCACCGCACCTGGCTGAGAAAAGATTCTTGTATGGAATTTAGTTATGTTCCATTCATTCTCAGTTCTCTTCAGAGCATTTTCATTTCCTTTGGTTAATAAGATTTCATCCATTAATGTAAAAGAAGTACCTGTTCAGCAAGTACCTGCACTGAGTGCCTGTCACATGCAACCCCTGTCCCAGCTCCTGGATAAGTTTGATAGGAGTTATAGAGTTTTGAATACCTGCTGAAATCTTATTGAAGAACGAAAGGCAAGAACATTATCCTATCTGCCAAGATAACAATAGTACTCAAATGGATGAGATAGGGCAGGGTTTGCAAATGCTTTCTGTAAAATACCAGATAGTAAATATTGTAGGCTTTGGGGGCCATCGTGGTCTCTGTCGCGGCTAGTCCATACACATATACAGCATGACAGTGACTGTGTGTGTGTGTGCTGGGGATTGAACCCATTCCAGGCAAGTGCTTTACCACTGAGCTGTGTCCTTAGCCCCTGCAAAACTTTATTTACAAAAACTGGTAACAGTTGGACTTTATCCTGAGGGCCTTCATTTGCCACTGATAAAAGCTGTTGGTAAAATAATAGGACTGTATATAGTTTGCCCATTGTCCAGGACAAATAAGATCAGAAGGAGAAATGAGAGTAAACCCATTGGCACTGTAAAACATGGCTTCTTAGAGGTAATGGCATTTAGCCTGGGCCTCAAAAGGGGGAACATGATTCAGAAAATAAAGGATATATCAAATATTCCAAGTGAAGAGACAGTGCTAGAAAGTCCAACTACCTGTGTGGAGGAAAAAGGAAAGAGACCAATCAGCTTGAGGAATTCTTCCCAAGAAACAATAGGAAGTAAAGTTGGGTGGTTAGGGTGGAGTCAAATTATAGAGGACCCTAAAAGGGAGTCAGAGGAATTTGGATTTCATGTGGGAGACAATGAGGCTTTCTAAATTATTGAGTTGGGGCATAATATGTTGAAAGTGGTGGTTTAGGAAGGTTACTCTGCTTCTCTGTTCAAGAGAAATTAAAGAAGAAAGAATCTGAGACAGAGCAGCCAGCAATCCAGACAAGGGGTGAAGGGGTCAGGGACAGGGTGGAGGCAGTAGGACTGAAGGGTTAAATGAGAGTACTATAATTGTTTATGAGTCTCCTGATGACTTAATATGAGAGCAGCAGAAGAAGGCAGTGACAGAGGTGACTCCATAAATTATAAGTTGTGCCTTTAACTTTAGAAAAGGGTACGTGGGTAACTGCTGGGTTTGGGTGATACTATTTAAGTTTGGCTTGAGAATGTTGAATTTTGTGTGGATGATGGACTAAGTGAAACTGTATGTGTAAGAAGCGTGCACTAGAATTCACTTGACATGATGGTTTCTCTAAGAGAGGGAGCTTGGAGAGACATGGCTTGGTTGTTTGGAAGACAAAGCAGTAAACAGAGTAATCTGAGACCAGAGAGGAGCTGAGAATGAATGCTGTCCTTGAAGGAGAGAAGCCACTGTTTCAAGAGAAGGGTTAGGACACAGGAATGACCAGGGGTGAAAACCAAGATAATCCCTTTGAAATTTAAAAACTCTGCTCTGTTGCCTTTCTGTGTCTCCAGTGAGACCTTTCCTTTGGACTAGAATTTTCTCCTGACACATTTATCTTCTGTGAGTGTCTGTGGCTCTGAAACCACCCCTCACTCTCCCAGGCAGGCTTTAGACTTTCTTTCCTGTCTGCTCTGTTGAACTGTACACAGAACTTGTTATTTTTCTTACACTGTGTTCTCAGCCGTATCCCAGTAATTAAGCATGGTATTTACCCAAGTTTCCCTAATGATAGGAATCACCTGGCATGCTTGGTGAATATAATACAAGATCAGACTCTCACTTGATATTCTGATTCAGTAGTTCTAAGTTGGAGCCTAGGAATCTTTAAAAACTCACTCCAGGTGATTTTTACCTTCAGAGAGGTTTAGGACACACTGACTAGTAAGTTACCTGACATGTAGTTAGGTGCTTGTTTGGTCTTAGAATTAAGGAATGCTCATTTATTAATGAAATGCATTTTTAGGGCTTTTGATGTGCTGTATACTACTTTTGGCTTTGAGTCTACAGTGGAAAGTACTACAGATGAGTGTTCTGCCTCATGGGGCTGTGGCAGTTGTACCCACCCAAAGTAATGTGACAGAGACAACTGGTGGGCTACCTTAGATTGGTAGTTCAGAGCTCTCTGGGAAGGTGACTTATGCTGAAATCTGAATGAGAAGGAACCAGCCATGTGGAGGTCCATGTGGAGGGAAGACTGTTTTAGACAGGACAGCCATTGCACATGCACTGACATGAGGCTGGTGTGGGTTATTTGGGGGCAGAAAGAAGGCTGGTGTAGCGGGATCAAGGACAATAAGGGATAGTGGTGGGAGATAAAGTTAGAGAAGTATACAGCATGAGGGCTTGTAGGACTTCAAGGCCCTGGTGAGAGGCTGGATTTTACTCTAAGTGTGATGGGAAACTACTAGCAGGTTTGAGTAGAGCAGTGATAAGATCTGATTTGTATTCTTGAAGAAGCCTTCTGGTTGCTTGAGGAGAATGCGTCATGGAGGGAAGATGACAGGAATAGGAGCAGCACCTCCAGTGTGAGCTGGAGAAAAGTGACCGCACTGGGATGTGTTAGTGTGTTAACAGCATTGTTACTGAGGAGGTGATTAATGAAGAGGAGATGAGGTAGGGACTTCTGATGATGTCATTTCACCAGATGTGTACTGGAATAGGGAGGAAATAAAACATTCTGTTATGAATATGTTAAATTTGAGGGGCCTGTTTGATCCAAGTGGAGATGTTAAGTTGGCAGTTGTTTGCTGAGAAGCAGTTGTGACCAGAGATAAGATTTGGGGACTCTGATGTGTATATGGTATTCAGAGCCATGGAACATGTTAGTGTTATCTAGGGAGAATACAGATGAGGAAGCAAAGGAGTCCCGCGACGCAGCCCATGAGGCTTTCCAGGTACAGAGGTGGTCCAACGTACAGAGACCAGGCAGAAAAGAAGGAGTCTGAAAAAAAGAGTAGCCACTAGGGAGGAGAAAATCCATGAGGGAAGAATGTAAGTATTTGAAGGAGATGGTGGTAATTATGTTATGGGTAATTTAAATACGTATTTCAAGTGTATGAATTTTGTCAGTTTGGGTTGACATATCTGTTTCCCTGTTAGACATAAGTTCTTTGGAAGTGGGGTCTCTGTGTGCCTTGACCACCTGACAACCAGCATTTCAGCTTCATATTTATAATGCAGGTTCTAAAGCCAGATTGCCACTGTCCCTTAATAACTTGTTATTATTCTGTATGATATACCTGTTTCCTCATCTGTAAAATGGGGGTCATAACAATGCTTACCTCACAGGATTATTATGAGGATATGTATGGCACTTGGAAAGGTCCTTGGCACATAGTAAATGCTCAGTTCATATGAATTCTGAACCACAGTTAGCTACTCAGTAATGATTTGACCATTAAATGTTTATCCCTAGGACCGTGAATAGAGGTAGAAGTCACATTCTCACACATTAAGGAAGTCACGAGTAATGAAGAAATGTAAGCAATATCAAAAACATTTTTCAGAAAAGTTGGGCAAAGTTTGTTTTACAATTAGGGAACACTTGTGTCAACCTCTTTTTCTCATCTCTTATACCGTTTACCACTTACTATTGCATTTCTGAGTAGCTTTGTTTTAAGTGGTTCTAATGTTTATAACACCTTATATTTATGTAGTACTTTTATTTTGAAGAATTTTTTTACAAGTATGTTTTTTACATTTTAACCTGATAACATCCCTGTAAAGTAGGAAATGAATTTATAAGTAGAAAACTAAGGTATAAAAAGAGCAAGGTTTGGGGCTGGGGTTGTGGTTCAGTGGTAGAGCGCTTGCCTAGCACATGTGAGGCACTGGGTTCAAACCTCAGCACCACATAAAAATGAAATAAAGATACTGTCTCCACCTACAACTAAAAAATAAATAATAAAAACGAGCAAGGTTTCCCCAATGTCTGATTCATACTTTCAAAATAATGCAATTTAAATGGAGATTCAACACATGAATATTGTATTTGTATAATTATCCTTGCTACTTGTGGTTTTTCTATTCTGGTATTTTTTCTCTGTTTTTGATGGTTTTTAAAAATTTTTGTTTATGCCCATCATGCATTTTGAATGGCAACTATGTTTTATGAGTAATCCATGCACATTGAAGATGAATCGGCAAATGGATGGGGACGGGTGCATATCCCTACCACCTTAGAATAACCATAATTAGTGTAATTTCTTTTCAGATATTTCCTCCTGTGTGTGGTTTGTAAGAGGCCTTGAGAGTTCAGACTTTAATCTGTACACATTGGGAACCCTCAAAGGATTTTAAGCAGGAATGTACTATAATCAGACTGGTATTCTGGATGAGAAGAATAGCCAAGAAGCCAGAAGACTGGTTCACAGAGCAGTGGGGTGGGAGTGGGGAGAGGCATTTCTAGACACACCTCAGAGACTGACTGAAAGTAAGGGAGGAGGTCATGTCTGCATTGTGAATTTAGTTCTTTTTGCTTTGTTGTGTCTACCAAGTTTTCTACAGTGAGCATATTCTATTATTTAAAAAAGTAAAAATAGAGACTCTCTTTGATTTGGGCTCATGGGTAATGACTTCCACCTGGAAGAGAGTAGCTTCAGTGAGGTGAGGGGGTGAGGGTAGTGGGTGGAACAGTGAGTGGAAGTGAGAAAGCAGAGGAATGGAGACAGCGGGTGCAGACAACTTTCAGAGCTGGTAAGAGACAGGCAGAAGGAGTTTAGTTCTAAAGGCCTAGAGGCTGCTTCTCCCAGATAGGAGAGGTGAGTGGCACTTGGGGGGATCATTGAGGGTTGTTTACAGAATGTACTCTGTGTGTGTACACATGTACATTTTCTCAGTATTCCATCATAAACAACAGAAATTTATTTCTCACAGTTCAGAAAACTGAGAAATCCAAGATCAAGGCCCCAGCATATTCCATGTCCAGTAAGGGTCTCTGTCTTAAAGATGGTGCCTTCTTGCTAGGTCCTCACACAGCAGGGGGGAGAGCAGCTCCCTTCAGCCTTGGAACCCTCATGACTTAATTATCTCCTCAAGGTCCCACCTCATAACACTACCACACTGGGGGTAAAACTTGAACATAATAATTTGGGAGGATACCAACATTCAGACCATACAGCCTCAACATTAAAATTTTTTATTTAAAATAATATTTTGTTATAAATAAACTGTATGCTAATGGTAAAAAATAAATAAATAAAAACCTTGCAATAAAATTTAAAAGTGAAATTGCTTCCCCATAAACCCTCTAGGTTTCTCCCTTGTTAACAGTTAACAATTAAGTTTCTTGAGTGTATACACATAAAATATTTTGTAACATGATAGCATTGTATTATCCACAGTGTTCTGTACTTGGCTTTTCCTCCCCTAGAATCATTCCTTATCTAATAAAGGGCTTTCTGATCATTTTTCATGACATCATAATGTTGTTACATCGATTTATCATAATTTACCAAGTCCCCTATTGATGGATACTTAGAATGTGTATACTTTTTGCAATTATTCATAATGCTGTAACAGCAATCTTTGTATGTCGTTGTAAATATTTAGTTGTACAGTTTATAATTGTATGTAAAACTTTCTCTTTTGAGGGCCAGCAATTAGCTTAGCAGTAGAGCACTTGCCTAGTATGTGTAAGACCCTGGGTTCAATCCCCAGCACCACTAAAAAAAAAAAAAAGATTCCCTGTTGATCCTTTGTTTTTGGACATTTTGGTATATTTTCTTGTGTGTTTTTAATTTTTATGTTTTTAATCATATTAGTCTTGTTTAATGTTAAGCAAGACTAACTTCAAAATGCTTTTATTTTAGGCTGATACCATGCTAAAGATGGGCTTTCAACAACAAGTGCTTGACATTTTGGAAAACATTCCAAATGATTGTCAGACCATTTTGGTTTCAGCCACAATTCCAGCTAGCATAGAACAACTGGCTAGCCAGCTTCTGCATAATCCTGTGAGAGTGATCGCAGGAGAAAAGAATCTACCCTGTGCCAATGTGCGCCAGATTATCCTGTGGGTAGAAGACCCAGCCAAGAAGAAAAAACTATTTGAAATCTTAAATGTGAGTAATGAAGCAGTCAACCATGTTTTGTAGATTGTGTTTGCATTTTTCACAGCTCTTAAAGGGAATGATATTTAGATTCAGCTTTTTGAGGAATTTGGTAGATGTTTAATAATGAATTGCTTTATCTGTCAGAATTCTGTGAGGATCAAATAAATTTTTATTTGTGAAAACATGCTATATTGATGCAGGGTGGGTTTGTCTTACCCTTGTTATAGAAAAGTTATTATGTATCAAATTATCATCAAGAATTTTTTTTTTCTGAAAAATTTTAGTATTTCTTGGCTCCTCTGTCCTTGAGAAATTTTTAACTGTTGCTGATTTAAACAGAAATTTGTGAAGTGGATGATATGCACAAGCATAATTACACACACAGCATTGAGTTAAATATGGCTTGTATTGGCTCATGAGCAGCCTTTAGAACTACACTGATTACACTTTAATTTTTTAATATACATTTGCAATATTAATGATTGAAAACTGTGAGGGGTGGAAGACTGGCTTCGGTTTATGCATATTTTAAAGAAAATATTCATTTTAACAGAACATACCTTTTATCTCCTTAATAGTATGTATTTATATATTTATAAACCTTTCAATAATTAGCTTGTACTAATGCTTTCAGAAAAACCTACCATTGTAAATTATGTTATGTGAATAATTTTAAATGTTTTTGATTTTTTCAGGATAAGAAACTCTTTAAGCCTCCAGTGCTGGTATTTGTAGACTGCAGACTAGGAGCAGATCTGTTGAGTGAGGCAGTTCAGAAAGTCACAGGTCTGAAAAGCACATCTATACATTCAGAGAAGTCACAAATGGAAAGGAAAAACATATTGAAGGTTTGACATTAAATACTGGATCTTCTCTTTGCAGTAAATCTGTTGTGCCACACTTTCAAGAGATAACATGTTACCAGCTGGTTTTTAAAGCAGACTTTTTTTAATGACTGTGAGAACATCAGGCAAGCAGTGATCATGAAGTTAATTATTCCTCTTGCTCAGGCTTCTGTGTTTTGGGAACAGTAACCCTGTTCTCTAGGAATTGTACTAAATGGATTACTAAATTAGAATTCAACATTTCTGAAGTCAGGACGCTTTGACCTAGAGCAGAGCAGGTTTACTTCTGAAAAAGATTTGCCTGAATAAATTAATAGAGTCAGTTCCATGGTGTAGGTTTCAGATATGAGAAGACTTGTTTATTGGAAAGACATTGCAAAAATATATTGAAGTAAGTAAGTTTGCCCGCCTGGCGTGCGTGTGGCCCGGGTTCAATCCTCAGCACCACATACAAACAAAGATATTGTGTCCGCCAAAAACTAAAAAATAAATATTAAAAAAAAATTCTCTCTCTAAAAAAAAAAAAAGGTATGAGAATTGCATAAAACCACATAAAATGAATTCTGAATAATAAATTTTGTTGCTGTTTTGGAAAGGGATTACTTGAAGGAGACTATGAAGTTGTGGTGAGCACGGGGGTCCTGGGACGAGGCCTTGACTTGATCAGTGTTAAGCTGGTGGTGAATTTTGACATGCCTTCAAGTATGGATGAGTACGTGCATCAGGTACGAAAGTTCTGTTACCACCGTTTTGTTAATGATCTTTTTGGAGAGGGCATTGTCAGTATGGTGTTATGTTAAAAAAAAAAAAAAAAGGCAGGACAGAAAACTATGTATGTTTGTTCCTAAAACATATATGAATATAAGCCAAATTTTGGTTTCATTAGCTATGTATATGCTTAAAATACATTTTAAAAAAACTGGAGGTAAGTTACATAAAATGTTAGTTTAAAAAATTTAGACATTAAATTTCTTTTTATTTTTCATAGAGCATATTAATGGCTTTTATAATCAGAAAAAGAAAACTGTTTTGAAAGATTGTTTTAAATTGATATATTTGACTAAAATAAAATTGATCCTTTAAAGTATTTGTTTTTTTAGGAATCTTGTCTTCATCTCCTCTTTGTATCCTTACTGGTTCTAGACTTTCACCTTTTAAAATTTCATTCCTTTCCTTTGCTGCCAAAGGTAACAATAGCTTCTCTTTCTAGCAGAAATAGAGCCTTTTCTTAGCGCCACGTTATCTTACTGACTGCTACCTGTCTTCCTTCTCGGGCATCACTTACAAACCTGCCAAATGAAGCCTTTCTCTGATGTTCTTAGAATCACCTTTGAATACCACATTTGCTTGAATCATCCACTGAAATGCTTTTAGTGCCTATAATACATTGTTTCTTTTATTTTTACTTATAATATAGAAGTACTTCTCTTTTTTTAATTTATTTTTTGGCACCACCTCATTTACCTGCACATCAGGGAATTGAATTAATATCCTACAGGAGTTGATTATTCAAGTAATTGAAGTGTATTTTCTTTCAAAAAAAGACTTTCACCAGGCATGGTGGTGCACACCTGTAACCCCAGCTGTTTGGGAGGCTGAGACAGTAGGATCACAAGTTGGAGGCCAGCCTTAGCAATTTAGCGAGGCCCTAAGCAACTTAGTGAGACCCTGTCTCAAAATAAAAAATAAAAAGTTCTGGGGATGTAGGTTAGTGGTAAAGCACACCTGGGTTAAATCCTCAGTAACAAAAAAAAAAAAAGAATTTCATACACACACATGTATATACATATACAAACTTATACACGCATATTTATACATACATATCTACTCACATGTGTATATACACATACATATGTATATAGGAACATGTTTATACCACACATACATAAATGGGACCACATCATACCAACTGTTCTATGCCTTGCTTTCTTTACTAAATATATCTTAGGTATCTTTCCTTATCAGCACACATAATAGGTATAAATGTTAATGTGTATTGAGTGCTTTCTGTATGAGCAGACACTGTTTTCTCTTTAAATGTTCTTATTTAATCTGGCTTGTTCTGTTTTGATAGCTGCAATGTAATATGTTGTGTGTACATACTGTTATTTATTTTAAAAATCTTTTATTGATGAATGAATATTTCTAGTTTATTAAATAATGTTGTTGCAAACATCCATGTTTGTGGTCTTCCGTGACTTGCTTCTTTCACTAAGCATAATGTTTTCAGTGTTCACCCATGTTGTAGTATATATTAGTACATCATTTTTTATTGCCAGGTAATGGTCCACTGTGTCGGTATCACACATTTGTTTATTCATTCATTAGTTGCTGGATGTTTAGCCAAAAGTTTCCACTTTTTGGCTACTATGAATAATGCTTCTGTGAATGTTGATGTACAAGTTTTTGTGTCCACATGTTTTCATTTCTACTGGACTAGTACCTTAGGAATGGGATCACAGGCTCATTTGGTAACTCTATGTTTAACATTTTGAGAACCTGCCAGACTATTGTCCAAAGTGGCTTCATTCATTAGGTGTGGTGGCGCATGCCTGTAATCCAGCAATTTGGGAGGCTGAGACAGGAGGATGGCAAGTTGAGACCAGCCTCAACAACTCTGTGAGACCCTGTCTCAAGATAAAATTTAAAAAGTACGGAGATATAGTTGTACACAATACCTTTATTTTGTTTGTTTATTTTTATGTGGTGCTGAGGATTAAACCTAGGGCATCGCATGTGCTAGGCAAGCACTCTACCGCTGAGCCATAACCCCAGCCCCCCCATTTAAGCTCTTTAGAGGCTTCTTTTACAGTATTAAAAAGGCCTTTTTATATTGGTAGGTAGAAACCATCTATTGATTTGGGCATTAAATATAGACCTTTAAGGCTTACATTTCAATTTAAGAGCAGAAATGATTGTATTTCTCCTTCTTCTGAAGAGTTTCTCGGTACATTTTTATTTTATGTTTGAAGACAAGTAGATTTGGGGTCTTACTGTGGATTTTCATTACAAATATGTGTCCATTTAATTCTGTGAAAGTGAAGAATAACTATGAAAGAATGAATCCACTTAAATCTAACGTATTAGGTATTTAGTATGCAAAAGCAAATAGTTTTTTAAAATATTTATTTTTTAGTTTTAGGTGGGCACAATATCTTTATTTTATTTTTATGTGGTGCTGAAGATTGAACCCAGTGCCTCACGTGTGCTAGGCGAGTGCTCTTGCCACTGAGCCCCAGCCCCAGCCTGGTCCTCTTGTTGTTGATGTAAGGCTTCCAAAATTTTTTTACCTTATCCCACCCACTGTGAGAAATATTTTTATCATTACCTTCTTCCCACCACTACTACCACACACACGGGTATAACTGAAACATGATTTTCACAAACAATACTTACTTGTATTATATGTGATCACTCCAGTTTTTTACTTGGGTTGTTTCTTTAAAAATATTTAAAGAACTGATATTTAAAGGCAGAGACACACAGTTCAAAAACTGCTATCTGAATGAATGTCAATCTTAGCAAATCCTCTTTAAATAATAATCTTCATTTTTCTTTCAAGAGACATTAAGGTTTTATGTGAGCATTTTGAAAATGTCTTTTTTGCATTTTATTTCAGGTTGGAAGAGTGGGGAGATTAGGTCAAAATGGAACAGCAATTACTTTCATCAATAACAATTCAAAAAGACTCTTCTGGGATATTGCAAAAAGAGTAAAGCCCACAGGATCTATCCTTCCTCCACAGTTATTAAATTCCCCCTACCTTCACGACCAGAAGAGAAAGGAACAGCAGAAAGATAAACAGACACAAAACGATGTGGTTACAGGAGCTAATCTCATGGACATTATTAGAAAACATGATAAGAGTAATTCTCAAAAATGATTTGTTATGCCACTTTGAATAAGTTTTGTTGCATATTTTCAGCAGAATTTCTATAAATTATTACTGTGTAATTTGAGTAAACGATAATGTTCATGAAACAGAATCTTTAAGATAGGATTTTTTAACTTAATAAAACATGTAAAGCAATACTGTATTTATTTCCCTTTTTAATTCTCACATTAAAAACAAAGTAAAAAAATGAGTTGTTAAATATCTGGACAAAGTATTTTTTTTTAAATAAATAGTTCTCAGAGCTACTATCAGAACTGGAAACATGCCACAAGCACATTGGGAAAAAATGGTTAGAACTACTCTTAAAAGAGTGTGAAATATGTGTTTTTATTCTTGGTTGTTTTTCTTTCAACCTAGCTAACAATTTTTTAATATACTTAATAATTTGGGCTACTTATCAAAGTCATGTCAAGTTGTATTAATGTTGCTTTGTAGTTTTATGTTTATGTCACTTTGCAAACTCAATAATTTTAAATACTGGAATAGGTGTTTGATTTTGATATATCTAAACATATTTCTTTAAAGTCTGATAGCATTAAATTAGTTGAGAAATTTAGGTGATCAGTATGTTATACAAAATTTGACATTTAAACAAGCTGTATAAGGTCAGCATCCTCCCTGAGGGGCCATGGGAGAGATTTTTCAGTAAAAGTCCTGCATTGATAGTTTGTTAGTGTTGTCTTCGCCCAAAGGAGTAAGGGTTGGGGGACAGAGGTTCTCCAAAGTATGTTCCCTCAGTCTCTGGCTCTCTTTCTGTATATCTGCTGTCAGGTGATGAGTACGTTTGATTTTAAGGGAACAAAGATGAGCAACTTTAAGGTTCCAGGGTGCTGTAGCAAAGGTACCTTGGAAGGCTGAACTCAACAGCATTCACATGGTACCTAACACATACTAAGTGTCTTGAAAATGTTGATAATGATTACTAGAGAGCAAGGCAATTTTTTACTAGGCTCAGACGTGTTTATAAATAAAAGTGGGATAACCAGAAAAATAAGATGACTTTGTGAGTCACCATTTACAGGAGACCATATTTAAATAAAAATAAGTAATATTAGACTATAATGTAACCTATTAAACTGGTCAGCTTAATTTTCTGGCAGTCTGGCTTCTGTTCCCACAGATACACTCACTGTCCTCAGAGCTGTCCCAGTATACCCTCCTCTAATACCGTTTTCTGCCACCCTCACTGTAAATTTCTTCATTGACTGGGTCTGGCTGACCTTCCTTCTGCAACTCTCACTTCCTTAAGGCAGCTCACAAATGAGATAGTGGTGGGCGAAAGAGCCCCTAACTCAGCTTTACTGTGAGAATTAAGTGAAATTGCTTATGTAAAATTCCTTTTAAGAGGTGCCTTGGTGGGGGAGGGATGGGTAGTGCCATCAGCTCTCTTCACCATCTCCATTGCCAGGAAGAATGATTTACATACAACTTGGTTTTTAAGCTCCCAATTTGGCTTCATACTTTATCTTATGTAAGTGTTTATTCCTTCATGAAGGCATATAATATACCTCCTATTGCCCTTACCACAATCAAAACAAAAATGACTCCACATACGTAGGTATGGTACAGAGGTGACAAGTCATCCAAGGTGACTTTCCTGGCAGCATGCATCAATCTGACTCTGGACAGACAGGACTCTTGTCTATAGTCGAGGCATACTTAGAATGACCCCAGAGGCGCTGGGTCCTTGTTGTGAAAAAGTCAAATAATGATAAGTAAACACAGTTCTCTTGTTTGGCTGTCAGAGTTAGGACTTATTTTATACTTACGTATTATAATATCTGGCATATATGGTATTACTGGACTCAATAACATAAGACAGATGTTTAATTTTATAGTATGTTTACAAATAGCAATTCTTTAGTGTTAACTTTATGAAAAACTTGCACATTATTTTTCTCATTTAATCTCAGATGAAAACTTGGCAAAGATATTTGCAAATAAGCGGGTTCCAGTTATATAGTTCCACTAGTTTTTTTTTTTTTTTTTAAATTAGGGAGGGACTGGGGATGTGGCTCAAGCGGTAGCACGCTTGTCTGGCATGCGTGCGGCCCAGGTTCGATCCTCAGCACCACATACAAACAAAGATGTTGTGTCCGCTGAAAACTAAAAAATAAATATTAAAAAAAATTCTCTCTCTCTCTCTCTCTCTCTTTAAAAAAAAATAAATTAGGGAAAATTCCAATCTTCAGCTTTGCTCACTTGAAAAATGAGAAGGTTTGCTCTAAAGTTCTCTGAGGTCATCCCAAATATATATTTTCTATGCTTCATGCTTTTAAATCTCTATCTCCATGTATGGATTTGCTTCAAAATAATATGGGGAAGGGGGAAAATATGCATGAAACAAGATTGGCCAAGAATTGGTTATTATTGATACCTGGGACTAGAAATGTTTTGGACATCAGATTTTTTTTGGCTTTTGTAATATTTTCTTATACATAATAAGCAATCTTGCAGATGGGACCCAAATCTAAGTCTAAAATTCATTTATGTTTTATACACAACTTACTTGTAACCTGAAGGTAATGTTATACAACATTTTGAGTGTGCTAGCATTTTGACCGTGACTGTTCACTTGAGGTCAGGTGTGGAATTTTCTACTTCTGTCACATTAATGCTTAAAAAGTTTTAGATTCTGGGGTATTTCAAAATTTGGATTTTTCAGAACAGAGATGTTCAATTTGTATATATACTCTCCATTCCCATTCTTTCATTTGTGCTCTGAGTATCTTCAATTTACCACTGGACATTTTGGCTCAAATACAGTATGTCTAAAGCCACATTTATCATCTTCCTCACAAAAAAATCTAACTCTTCCTTTCTTACTTCCCTGTTGCCTGTGGAGCTACCCACACCCTTGGTCATGCTCAAAACCACAGTCATCATTGACTCACTTTTCTCCTAATCTCCATCTCTACTTAGTCACGAAGTTCTGTTGTTTTTTGAAAATGGCCACATTTTCATGCTGCCACATTATCACCCTGTGTCCAAATTGTACTAGCTGTCTCTGAATCGGCCTTTCTAAATCTGAATTCCCACCACTCAATGTCCTCCCAATTTATAGCAGGAAAATGTTTTTTTAGTGTATAATTCCATTATTCTGATGATTTCTTGTTTAGACTTTAATTTTTTTTTTAATTCTTATTAGTTGATGATGGATCTTTATTTATTTATTTATATGTGGTGCTGAGAATCGAAGCCAGTGTCTCACATATGCTAGGCAAGTGCTCTACCACTGAGCCACAACCCCAGCCCCTCTTGTTTAGAAATTTTAAGCAGCTCCCTGAGTTCTGGCTAGTGTCCGAATCCCTCCTTTCCCAAATCCCTCCTTTCCCAAGTCTACTCTACAACCGCTCCCCAGCTCAAACCATCTGTTGCGGCTTATTGCAGGCTAGAACAGGTCAGAAACCACCTCTGTAGGATCAGACAGTTCATCCCAACTTCCCTGAACACATTCATAATACAAGTAATTAACTGCTGGCAACCAAGAGCTGATGTGTCACTGATGAGCTCTCAACACAACGGAAGGAAAACAAAGACTCTGCTAAGAGAAGGCCAGTTTAATTAGGGAATATTTTTTATACTTTCTTTTCCTATTTTGGATCCTGGTGATATTTGCTTGGAATTAATTTTACAAAGGATTTTAAGTGTTGGGAATCAGGAAATAGTAGTAAAGTGAATTCGGAAATGAGGGTTGCATTTTAGACTGACAATGCTGCTCTGATGTATGAGTGAGGCAACTGAGAGCCTTTAATTAAATAAAGTGCTTTAGGAAAAGGAAGTTAAGGCATTTATAATGTTATGACTTTTAACACATTTTAAATAATTAGAACAGTTTATGACTTTTATGAATATAAAAAAAAATTCAGAAAACTCCTAATTGAAAATGGCATTTTACATATGGTATCCTTGGAAAGACAGTAAAAAGGAAAATGTGGTAGCTGAAGGGAGGGGAGAAAGCTGAGAGACTTTTATGATATATCTTTTTAAAACAGCGTCCAGAGGCTGGGGTTGTGGCTCAGTTGTAGAGCACTTGCCTAGCATGTGTGAGGCACTGTGTCCAGTCCTCAGCACCACATAAAAACTAATAAATAAAATAAAGGTCCATTGATAACTAAAAAAATATTTAAAAAAAAACAATGTACAGATTTCTTATTTGTTAGCTGATAAATGGTTACTAGTTTTCTTTAAATCCTTTTGGATTTGAGGATGGAGGAATGTATGGAGTTTTTCTATGTGAGCTTTATACTTAAATTTTATGGGGAAAACTAGCTTATATGTTTGAGATTTCATTAATTTTACACATAAAATTAAATAGTACACATAAAATTATAATTCACTTAAACCTCTAGGAAATTAAAATAATTAGCTTAGTGATGATAGAGAGGTATTGGATGGGGGTGCATTCTTTACCTTTTAAAAACATCATTGATCAGGCTGGGGATGTAGCTCAGTTGGTAGAGTACATGGCTACCCTGAACAAAGCCCTGGTTCAATCCCCAGCACCGCCCCCCCCCCCCAAAAAAAAAACAAAAAAAAATCATTGATAGTTATAAATGTTCTCAGGGAAATTCAAAGGGTTTTATAGAAGTAGATAGTGCTGGGGATGTAGCTCAGTGGTAGAATGCTTACCTGGCATAGACTCTATTCAATCCCCAGAATTGCAAAAATAAAGAAAGAAAAAGATAGACAAAGACAGACCAAGACAGAACGTGTCCTGGCACATTAGTCCAGGAGCTGAGGAGTCATTAATGGCTCCATTGTGAAGAAGGCCTAACAGCTTCTAACTTTCTCTCATCTTTTTCTGGCATTCAGTGGGTATGCAGGATGATAGTAGGATCCAATTGAGCAATATGCTTCCTTGTTTAAAAAAAATCAATAAAAAGGGATTCTCAGGATTTGAATTTCCTTTATGTGTAAATTAAGCTTCCATAGCTCTTCTTGATTAATTTTTGAGTAGTTTCAATCTTGGATACATATATTCTCAAAGAACTAATTCTCTATTCTGATTTGCAAAAATACTGTTTTTACCAAAATAAGGACACAATCTTACAGATTTTTAGGACACAATTTATAGATTTTCTTTTTGATTGATTACTCTAATTAACACTTAATACAAAATGCAAAACTAGATG